CATACCATAAGCTGCACACCAAGACAAAGTTGTATGTTTCAGCGAATGCGATGTGACACATGTCTCTGGATTGGTCTTCAGCACCTTGTTCAAGAAGGTGCCAATCTCCTCTGTTGAACATGAACGACGGCAGAGGCCTCCGTCATGTGATGGGGCTTTGCACAAAGCCCCAAAAGGTTCAGCCTCCATGTTGACTCCGAGTGAATTCATTGCCTGAACCCAATACTTCGACCAGTCAATGTTGGTCACACCCAAAACCGGTGCTACCAGTGGCATATACCTCTGTTTCTTTGCCAGCGTCGTTGCAGTCTTGTGATATCTCGTACGTGCCTCCACAAAGCCGTAAAGTTCTCCATTGAAATCCACCTTTTCTATCCAGATCTGATGAATCATCTTTAGATCCGACCATCTGGATCTTGAAAGCACTGCAAAAAGAATCGAACCAAGCATGTAAACATCTATGGGATTGGAATGAGATGCAATCAACTTCTCCAATGCGGCTACTTCCACAACTTTTAGGGGCCTGGCTGGTTTGTACGTCTCCTTCTCCGCCAAGAGACGCTGTGCGCGTCCCCGCAGCTGTGGATCACTCAATAACTGTTCGGGAATCGGAATCTCAAGCACAAACCTCGCAAATCTAAAAGACTCCAACAAAGTCATGCCCCTTGAAGCTGAAGATCTGGCATGTTCTGTTGAACTCAAATATTGTAAGCAATGTCTCCTGTCCCAGGGTGACCATTCTGGCACATGCATCTGCAGCCATGAAAAATACTGTAGCAACGTCTGAGCCCTTTTTATGGCAGTTCGAGGTGACTTGATCCCCAATGAGTCTCTCAGCACCGCACTGCGCTCGTCTGGATCTGTCGCCAACTGCTCCTGCAACAGTGCCTTCCCTACAGTACCAGGGTAGTTGAGGATTTCAAACACCTGCTGCCACTTGTACAAGGCATGCAACCACAGCTTGCGGTCTTCTTCCAACGCATCTCTGTCGGGAAGCACCCTAACTGCAAATGAATAAAAAGGCAGTGTCGTGTCAGTGGCAATCAATTCCCTGGGGTGCATGCTCTGCTCCATCAACTCCACATCATCATGGCCTGCCGCTTGTGACTGTGACGGGAATAAATATTCTCCTGGCACAGGTGGCACTACGGTTGGAAAAACGTCATCATCATCATCTGCAAAAATGCGTTTCCAGACTCCCTGCTCCCAGGGCAATTTCATCTCCGCATCTCCCATTGAGCTCATGCGTGCTTCAAACAATAACCTGTTATATTCAGACTTCCAAAGTGGTACATCAGGTCTTGTCTGTTTATCTGAGGTTTCTGCAGGCTCTGGCCAAACTTGTCCAGGTTCCAAAAATGGAATAGGAGCTGCAACTGATACCCCATCGCCTCCAAAAATTTGTAAATCTGAAGCCGAGGGTGCCGACAGTAGTTGTTGTTGCAAACATGTCTCAGTATCATCAGCAGGATCACCAGACTGTTGCAAATGACATCCTGATGAGGTCCCGACCAATTCTGCAAAGCTATCAGACATATCACTATTGAATGCCTCTGAACTGACGGATCCTGGAAAAAATGTCCTCACTATCCAGATGAACCGCGTAGCAACAACTGCAGAAAGTTTGAAGATCGGAAACCAGCAAAAAACTCAAAACCCTGACCTCTGCAAACTCAGTATAATCCCAAATGCTCCAGGAAATCAAAAACAGTCTGTTTTCACTCAGATAGTCGTACCTATCCGGATCCCACTCCAACGCAATCATTCTGCACCCATGGCGCTCAAAAAGCACAATCCACAAAAGAAGTGGAACCCACCCGCCCTCCCTTTGGAGGCGACACCTTGAACGGGTAATGGCAATCATTGACAAAGACCTAAGAACTGTTACACTTCTGTTGTGTGTGTCATCCTGCGCAGAACAGTGCCAGAGAAAAGAAGAATTCAGTTGCATTCAACAAGAAACAAAAATTTGGGTTTGTGCAAGTTGACTGTTCACAAAGGTTAATTAAACAAGGTTCACAAACCAAAAAGCACCAGGTCCAAGAAGGTGCCACAAATAAAACCCAAAGCGAACACGACCACAAACCCAAATGCACTGAACGCAGGAGAACGGGAGACGCGAGTGTAAGAGGGAAGAAGAGGGCGGCTAGAAGTTGCATTCAACTTCTTTTTTACTAGAAGGGAAATAAAGTTTCATCAGCTCGCTGAGTCGCAACATTCTTCCACAAGAGTCCAATCTTCTCACCAAAAAGACAGACTGGGGAGGCCCCTTCCAATGGCTCCAGTTCTGTGACACATTTCAACTCCCATTTTTGGAGCTGTTGCTTGGCCATTTTCGAATCCAAAAACAAAAACATTAACACTTGAACATCTGTCATGGATGACATTCCAGCCGCTTTGCTGGCCGATGCTCACGTTGCTCCCTTCCCCTCATCGTGCCATGTTGTGGTACGCCGCAGAATGCGGACAACGACTATTTGAGTCTAGCAAAGTTCATGCGCCTGGGTCCTTTAAAGTCTGACAGCTACTGTGACAGCGATGACAAAACACAGCCTGTACAATCTTCTCGTCAAACAAAGAAGCGGATCTCAAAGCGTAGACAGGCTTGCTGAAGCCCCGGCAAAGCTTTGCACATGATTCAAAACATTGCAATCATCCGAACCCTCTCCTCTCCCGGCCCAATAACCAAAGCGAATCCAACCGAAACAACAATCACAAGGCGCAATGCAAATCGTAGTCCAAGACAAACAAGCGGCTGACATGGGCTTAGAATACGCTAAAAACGCTTCATTGTCACAAAAGCAAGGTACTTGTCCAACATTGCCACATGGGGGGGCAGGGGGCATTCTACGCCTCTACACTTTCCTAATACTATTGCTGCCCCTCCAACCCAACTCACAGCAAATAGAAGTGAAATACGCGCAGCGCTGTAGAATGCAGTGAACCTGCTTATTATGTACCGGAACAGACTTTGCAACAGCATGTACGGGAGCGCGTCTTCCCTGATCGAAAACTACGCAAAAGAGCACCGGATATTGATGTAGCTGCGTTCGACGCCACATACAACGAAGTACGTCGCTTGGCTGCAATAAAGGAAGCAGAGCACCCGGTCTCCTTTGCCATTGGGAACAGCTGGAATGACACTCTCCGAGCAGACAAACGCCACCATCTTGAATACACTCAACGGAGTCAGACATAGCCCTCTCTCCTTCTCCTCCCCCCCCTTCTTGGGTCGCACCTCTCGTTTCACCTCTTTGTCTTTCTGTTTTATCTATGTCCCTGCTATGGCCCCCCTAGTCCGCTCGGTTGGGCCCTTTTTGCTCCGGTCGGGACCTATTAGCGGCTCCTCTCTACCGGCTTGTCGCGTTTTAGTTTGTGCTGTTCACGGGGGTCTGTTTGGCCACTGGTGCATCTGTCCATAGACGTGGCAGGTGCATTGGGGTCTTACTTTCCCTGTGTTATGGTTCGAGCTTAGTATTTGTACTGGTCTACGCTATGCTTGGTGTGCTGAGGGGGGGGACGCGGTCGCGAGTTGTATGGGCACCAAAAACCATGCGTCGTAAACATGTCTACGCGCAAACTGAACAAACTGTGTCAACCCAGTAAACGTAAACAAAACTGAAAACCAAACATCACAAACATCGACTGCAGAAACGCAACTGAAAGACATCACAAGTGTTGAGAATCTGAACGGGTTGAAAGGCTGACTCCTTTTTCGCCAAGGTGGTTTGTCCCACGCATTCATTCCTTCTGCCAAAGATGTCTTCATGACATCATGCCACGCAAGTTTTCCAAAGCAACGTAAAGAAGTCTCATGACCAAAGTCCCAAGCTGCATACCTGAAGTTGTAAACCCCCTGCCAATTCTGTCTGTAGCGTGGGCGTCAGCCCAACTCCACACCAGGGTGGGTTGGGTGGGTACCCAAATGAATTTCCTGTGAAGCCAGATGCTCACGAAAATATAATAAGACTTCTTCTCAAAGTTCACCAGCAAAACTGTGTTGAATTGAGCAGGGAGAAACGACTGTTGCAAGCGAAGCCACATGACAAACATCTGAATTGCAAGTATTTGAAAAGGTCGTCAACACACGACAAGCGACAGCAAAAACAACGAAACCTGAAAAGCGGTTTGTTTCCACGAAAGAACTCCAGCGACATCCGTCAAATAACAGACAGTTGAAAAAACCAGAAACATCAAATAAGTCATGGTTGTTGAAATCACCGGTAACCGACCAGTGTTGCAAAACTGAAAGTGCAATGTGTCCTCCAACAGATTTGTAAGACCCAATACCAGAAAGAGCCAGCACTTGCTGGCCAAGCAAGTGCACATCCGTGCAAGAGACCCCACCCACCCACCCAGCACAGCAAGCGTCGCATAGACCCACAGGGCAAGCCCAGTGAAGCCTACGCTATGCTTGGTGTGCTGAGGGGGGGGACGCGGTCGCGAGTTGTATGGGCACCAAAAACCATGCGTCGTAAACATGTCTACGCGCAAACTGAACAAACTGTGTCAACCCAGTAAACGTAAACAAAACTGAAAACCAAACATCACAAACATCGACTGCAGAAACGCAACTGAAAGACATCACAAGTGTTGAGAATCTGAACGAGTTGAAAGGCTGACTCCTTTTTCGCCAAGGTGGTTTGTCCCACGCATTCATTCCTTCTGCCAAAGATGTCTTCATGACATCATGCCACGCAAGTTTTCCAAAGCAACGTAAAGAAGTCTCATGACCAAAGTCCCAAGCTGCATACCTGAAGTTGTAAACCCCCATCGCAAGCGAAAGGTATGCAACATCACATTGCTACCAAGGTGTCTTATCCTGCCTTTTCCGCTTTCGAACACCAGGTGTGGCGTTTAATTTCGCCTGCGCCCTCAGCTCATCAAACTCAACCTTCGTATCCCACAAGGCATGTATCAAGGAAGTGGGAAGGTCAGCGTAGGACAAAGGAACTTGCTTGGTCATATCAACCTGTGTAAAAATAGAATTGGTGATGTCATCAGCCACTGTGTTGAGCTCTCTTGGGCGCCAACGCAACCTGAGACACAAACGCCCCCGTGCCAAGAGTGAAGAGAGCTGGAGGTTCACCAGCATTAATGGCCACCTTGTCGTCGTGCGCTTCCAAGAGAGGAACTCGTTGCTCCTGTTGTCAGTCCCTGCAGTAAAACAAATTTCCACAGACTTGCGCAACCTACATTGCTCTGCCCAGCCAAACGCAACTAAAGCCGCCATGGATGCAAGAAGTTCTGCAGAAGTGGAGGCCCACTGAGATCCTTTCCCGTCAGCAAAAAGGTAAGGTGCATCACGCTCTGTGATGATAACCTGAAACCATCTGCCAGTGTCAATCTCCCACCCCCCAAGCACAACTGTGTCGTCCGTGCATTTTGCATCCGTACGAAATTGTTCACCACTAACATGCCTCGGTCTTGCAGCCGAAACCAAGTATGACTCCATCTGGAGTTCTGCCAGAATGTACTTGAGCGTGAGGATGACGGTGTCAGGCAGTTTGGCCACCGTGCTCGAACCAGTAGCTGCTGACCATGCATATAGTGGCGAGAGGTGGGGTTTCATCCACACCAGCAACTGTGACACAAACCCAAGCCTCCCCAAGAACTCCGCAAAGTCACGGGTGACCACCACATACCGCTTGTCTGCGGCGGCCAGAATCCAATCTCTCAACCAGTCACCACGCCTGATAGTCACACCGACCTCCTTTGTGTCGTATTTCATCTGAAAGCCAACAAACTCCACTGAAAAGCCACCACGAAATTTGTGGTATCCAAAAGGTGTACCAATCAGTTCAAAAGCTAAGATCCAGACCCACATGTTGTGAAATTTCCTCAAGCCTGTAAAAGCACCGTGGAGGTCATCCACGTAGACCATGTGTAAAAACCAGGTTGTTGACATCAAGTGGCCCACAAATCGACCGACCAGTGAGAACAGCTTTGCCCACCAGTAAGGTGCGCTTGAAATGCCAAAAGTGCCGCACTTGTTAATCCAGACAGTCTGTGAATCTGAATCCGCCCTGCACGCAAGAAACCCCCAATCTGAGGGACGTATCTTCACCAGCCTATGAGCTGCTTTGATATCAGCTGAAATTGCAAAAGGAGCCTCACGTGACTCAAGCGCTTCCCTGACCGCAGCCGCAACTTCTGGGGGACCAGGACATTGAATCTGGTCCTTGTACACAATTGCATTATTGACCTGAACTGAGTGTGTCCCATCGTGAAGAGGACGGACTGAACCGTCTGGTTTTGTAATCGCAGCCATCGCCGCAACCCTGACCTTGTCTGCACCAAACTTCTCCTGCGCCACAGGCAGCCTTATAGGAAACATCCTGCCCAACGCTTCCTCTTCCAGAAACTTTTTCTCAAGGTCAGCAACTGATACACGTGCAGAAGGGTAATTGACAGCCAATGGATTGAACTCAGATTCATCAAGCTTCTTGTGTTTCAACTTAGGTGGGAAAACCTGTGGAGTCCTCGGCAATGGCTCCAGTACTCCCACCGGGACACCTGTAGAGAAACTGTCCTCCACATTCACTAAGGAGTCCACATCCGGATCCTCAAAAATCTCAAGCCACTGTGCCAAACCATGTAGCAGAAACGGTTGTCCCTCAGCAACCACCAAAGCTGACACTGGGTCAGGCAGCAACCCTGCCCATTGCTTTCTGAGGTTCTCCAGCGTTTCCCGTGAAAAGGGTGACTCAACCAACTTGCCTGTTGCCAATCTGAACGCCTCCGCACGCACATCTGGAATGCATTGATTGACTGTCTCCAAAAGCAAAGCAAAAGTGTCATGCGCAAGTTTCTTCATCTTGTCCGTACGCCTTATCCCCCTTGAAGCAGGATGCCAACGTGTAGGTGAGCACAGCCCAAAGCCATCAATGAAATCTCTCTCATGACCATCCCACTCAACAACTATCGGGTGGCCTCTGTTCAAGCAAGCTTGCATATCAAAAGAATCCATTGGAACCTCACCAGCAACTGTTGACTCTCCTCCTCGGTCCTCCGCTGTAGTTGTATCTGGTGCTTCAGCCTCTGAACCAGAATCAACCTGAACCACCTCTTGGGCACAACGCTGCACATCCCTCTGACCAGTTGAAACCTGTGGAGAGGGGTCCTTGCTACCAGCAGGGAGCCCATTCAAGTTACCACGCTGCACGTCCTTTGGACCAGTTGAAACCTGTGAAGAGGGGTCCCTGCTACCAGCAGGGAGCCCATTCAAGTTGGGAACCTGTGAAGCATTCAAGTTGGGAGCATCCTTGCACCCCCTCCCGGAGGTTGCATGCGCAACAAGGATGATCTCAACAATAAATTTGCAAAGGCCGTCAGGATATGACGCACTGGGTGAGGTGTTCCACCGATTTGCAGTCTTTCCCATCAACTTGTGAACATGTGTGTGTCCACATGCGACCGGCAGTGGACCCAAGTATTTGAACCTGCTGTCAAACTTCGGCATTCCAAAGAAACAACGTTTGTCAGAAATCTTCACATTGCACATGAGTCTCGTTGGCTTGGGTGTAAGAGCGCCAAAGTGACATTGGTGGATGGCAAAAGTTATACCTGCAGACATGGCCAACAACTCATGCACCTCCGTCCACTGCCAAATGGAACCTGGCACTTCATCCTGTACCAGGCCAAGATCTTCTGGGTGTTCCCAAAAATACCAACCTTCAAATTGTACCGCAATTGTACATGCATCCAAACATCGAAAAATGAACTCATTCGCTTCGGCAACAATTTTTCCATTCTCATTTGACAGCCATGGGAACCCTTTCGGCCATGTGCGGTTTCGCAACGGCCTTGGCCCTGGGTACTTCTTCCATTGAAACCTCGCTCTGGAAAACGTATTGCATGGTGGGCTGACTATAAGGAACCAACCACCTTGCCTCAGAAGTTCATGCACATTGTCCCACAACTCCTGCTTTCGCAGGTCGTGCTCCTGGGAACGCTCGATGTCAATCTCATGCAACTGTAATTCAATGCGCCCTTCAGCTTCGAGCTTCCTAAGGAATGACCCAACGTCTGAATGACGTCGTTTTCCAGCAAATAAGTAAATGACTTTGACCAGCGGCTTAACCGGGAGGCCAACTGGAAGCGCAACCCCACTGCTGGACCGAGGAGTCTGCTTTGACCTTCAAGAGCTGCCAGTGGCCTCTTTGTGCTTGATGGCCGGGTGATCACCATAGCAACCCTTGACCCTACATTGATGGACACGATTGCATTTGCCATCACATGAGCCTGTATTGTAACTGAAACACAACTCCCGATTATCCGGAGTCCTCCACGCCAGCGATAGCCCTTGCAATTCCTTTCGCACTTCTTTGCCCTTGCCTTTGCCAGACTTTCCTTTGCCTTTGAAGTTCGAGGATTGGAACTTACCATAACCCTTTGTGTTGGGCCTCTGCCACTTCTGCTGAGGTGGATCAGCCTGAGCTGACATGGCTGCTCTCAATGCCACCGGTGTTGTGAAATACGTCTCCTTCAACTCCGCATCATGTATGACCTGATTCAATGCATCGGCCAACGTTGCACCATCCCTCACAACCAACTTGAAAGCTTCTTTCCTCAAGCGGTGCTCGAAATTCAAGATGATACCCCAGTCAGGTTTGACACGTGTCTGACCATCGCCCACCAAAGAGGGGACCTGAATGTTGTAAACCTTTTCCCCCAAAATGAAGTCGACAAATCTGTTGAAAGGAGCCGCAGTGAGGCCGTGAAGCCAAGCTTTCGCCTTGTAGCGGGCTGCCATGCAGAGCCATGCATACATTTCAACACGCATTGCTCTCCTGTACTCCTCCGTATTCGAAGGAAGCTTGGATTTGACCTTGGTCTTGGTGATCCTGATATGACCTGTGCTGTCAAGGCCAGTCTGCATCTGAGAAGTAGTGCTATCTTTCCTGGAAGAAACCTCATCCAATGATGCCGCAACTGGTTCATTCGTTTCAGTCTCTTCAGCCTTCACTGAGAGATACTCCACTGAAGGGGTTTCTGATTCCTGCAAAACTCCGTAAACAGCTTCAACTGCTTTGACCATTGCCTGCCTTTCATGCACCTGCAAAGTGCGAGGCTGTCCTAAGACCTTCGCTTCTGCACGGATTTCTGTCTCTTTGGCAATGAACTCCTGGGCAACCTCCCAAGAAGAGACAATCGCTGCTGTTTCTGCACGGTCAGCGGGGTTATCCTGGGGGATAGCAAAGTCCTGTAAACAGGCCTGTCTGATCTCAGCTCTTGAGTCACCAAGTGCCCTGAATTTTCTCAGAGTACCATAACGCCTTGCCACAGCAACTTGGGCTCCAAGTGACACTCCATTGTCTGACAAGACAAATTGCAAATCACTATCCATGTGTTCAGAAATGAACTCCTTCTGTTGTTGCTCATCCATGGCAACGCTGGCACGGTCAAAACCCTGAATGCCAAAGTGAAATAAAGGCAACAAGCAACCATTTCCTGACAACAAATTGACAACGGCCTGAGCCCTGTGTTGTCCCAACTAAATGGGGGTCAGAACCCTGTCAGAACCCTGTCCCATTTCACGTCTCAATCGTACAGGAAAGAATGACTCAAACAAGTGCAGAAAACATGCAATGCCCAAAGCATCAACCCTGTGCACAATTGACCAATCTGACATGTTGATTCATGCCAGCGCCTTGAAGTGGAAAAAGATCGTTGATATGCAAATGAGAAACACGGACGATCACACATGCAGTGTCAAAACACTCAGAAGCAACTACAAATTTTATTTCCACTAACAAACCACAAGACGGTGGGGAAGGATCAAATGTATAGATCCATATTCATATACCTCCGTTATGTCTATACCCGAAGTATCATATACGGTCAGGTAATATATAACAATATATTATACACCCAAATATTCCATGGATACGCTCGCCGTCGAAAATGGTGAATCAACTGCTTTGCAAAATTGCACATGCCACTGCAGGAACACCCGTTGATATACCCCCAGCGTGGGTGGGTGAACAAAGTGAAGTAGGGTGGGTAACGCTGCCCTATAAAAAGGGTGGGATTCCCACCCGCCCTCCCTTGAAACGAAAAACATCAAACAAATAAGGATTCACATGTGTGATCATGTTGCTTCACAGATGTTTCCGACTCAAACAGGGAACATTAACAAGCAAAAGGTGTGGACATGCTGCACCAAAGATGTTTCCGATTGATTCAGGGAAAACAGGTAACAAACGGTTTACTGTTTGTTTTGAGTGTTGTGGTTTGTTCAGTTTTTGTTGTGTTTTTTTTGTCTTGTTAATTTGTTCCAATAGGGAACAAATTTTTGTTGACGTGAAAATAAGGCATTCATCTTTGATTCTCCAAAGAGGTGTTGCTTATTTCCACTAACAAACCACAAGACGGTGGGGAAGGATCAAATGTATAGATCCATATTCATATACCTCCGTTATGTCTATACCCGAAGTATCATATACGGTCAGGTAATATATAACAATATATTATACACCCAAATATTCCATGGATACGCTCGCCGTCGAAAATGGTGAATCAACTGCTTTGCAAAATTGCACATGCCACTGCAGGAACACCCGTTGATATACCCCCAGCGTGGGTGGGTGAACAAAGTGAAGTAGGGTGGGTAACGCTGCCCTATAAAAAGGGTGGGATTCCCACCCGCCCTCCCTTGAAACGAAAAACATCAAACAAATAAGGATTCACATGTGTGATCATGTTGCTTCACAGATGTTTCCGACTCAAACAGGGAACATTAACAAGCAAAAGGTGTGGACATGCTGCACCAAAGATGTTTCCGATTGATTCAGGGAAAACAGGTAACAAACGGTTTACTGTTTGTTTTGAGTGTTGTGGTTTGTTCAGTTTTTGTTGTGTTTTTTTTGTCTTGTTAATTTGTTCCAATAGGGAACAAATTTTTGTTGACGTGAAAATAAGGCATTCATCTTTGATTCTCCAAAGAGGTGTTGCTTATTTCCACTAACAAACCACAAGACGGTGGGGAAGGATCAAATGTATAGATCCATATTCATATACCTCCGTTATGTCTATACCCGAAGTATCATATACGGTCAGGTAATATATAACAATATATTATACAACCAAATATTCCATGGATACGCTCGCCGTCGAAAATGGTGAATCAACTGCTTTGCAAAATTGCACATGCCACTGCAGGAAAGAATTCAAACAAATAATCTCACCACAAAAAATTTCCACATCACTGCGATGAAAGAAACAATTGCCCAATTCTGCCACTCTCTTTTTGGTCGCGGTCACACTTCGAATGCACAGTCGGGGTAAGCACAAGAGAGGTTGCAGTTTCAACCTGCAGCGATCAAATCATGTTTTTGTCACTGGAAGATTGCAGATGGTGCTATCTGCCGAGGGTCAAGTTTTCCGGCTGCATGATTCCGGAACACCCGTTGATATACCCCACTGACTTAGGTGTGCAGGAAGGACCACAGAGAGAAGCTTAGCTCGAGCAAGCCAAGGCACTTCAAACTTTAGTCTTGAGGCATCATCGGCCGGGTTACTGATGGACGGGACTCGTCCGAACCATGGTAAGAGATTTAACAACCTTTCATACTTAACAAAATCACGCACCATGCCCGCTGCAGCCGGTGTTGCTCCTTCAGCACGGACTAGGGCGCTGTGCGCTGCATTGTTGTCAAGGTAGAAAACCACGTGGCATTTCTCAAGCAGTTTGGCCCATATCCTGATGGCTACCAGGACGGGAAGAATCTCGAGCTCGTATATTGGGTGGTCTGAGTGCTCAAGGAATTGGTCGAGCAAGGTTTGTGGAACAGGCAACCCAAAAAACTCTAAAGATCTTCCCCATTCATCAACCAGTAGACCACCGATCGTGGCCGGCGTACTAGAAGTAGGTTCAAACGCTCCGTCAGTGAACACAAAGAAAGTGCTGCAGTGGGATATGGAAACTTGTACTGGACGTGCTTTGAACAGCTCCTCCATCAAGAATTTCAGCGCTCGACTCAAGTCGTCCGGCTTACTCAAGGACTTGGTTTTGACCCGGGCATATTTTGAAACCACTCTCACTGCCGCATTAAGTTTTCGTCCAAACACATACGAACTGAACCATACCAACCTTCCATGTAATTTCTCCAAAGCTTTCACCTCTACTTTTTCTGCTTGTAGGAGTTCCTGCAGGGTAGCCAGAAGCTCCTCACGTCTCTTGGCTGTGTGGCCCAACTCAAAGGCGCCCCGGCTGGTTTCTGCCAGGTCAATTTCCAGCCCTAAGGTCTTGAACTTCTGCGCGAAGTCTGGGGCCTTGGGGCCCGTCTCAGCATACCGCACTCCAAGCAAACGTAGTAATGACTCCACACAGAATGTCACCTCTTGCGCCGACTGCTTGGTGCACAGAGCAGTGTAGTCGTCAAAGAACTTGGTCCAGATGAGGTTCAACCCTACCGTGCCAATGAACTTTATAGAAGCTGCTATGCGCAGGAAAGAAGAGACGGAGGCTGTCGCCCCGAATGGTAGAGACTGCACCGCAAAGTATTTCACTCCGCCATCCGGATGCCGCTGGGCAATCCTAAGAGTTTTTTGGTGTTCCACATCGACACCAAATTGCTTGTATGCACTTTTCAAGTCAAACGTCCTGCCAACAAGGTCTAGCAAAATGTTGCCTTCACTTTTCCTTAACATCACAAGGATGGTGGCTGCCAGCTCATCTACTGACTCCACCCTGAGCTTTTCTGCCATGCCCACCGTTTGATTTACTCCCGCTGCTGAGAAATCATCAATGAGCCGCAATTTGCCCCCTTGCTGCAGAGGGAAGCGTTTGGCAACATGCACCAAACGCAGGTCATCAACTTCGCAAGGTTCCAGCCACCCGTTCTGAATCTCGGCCTGGGTCTCTTCCCAGGCAGGGACATCTAGTTCTGAAGCGCCCGCTTGCGCCAAGGAATCAACCACTGCATGGTTCAACCCAAGCGCAATTCCACGCAGCTCACTCAAGGTCATGTCTGGAGGTCTCACATCAGGCACAAAAACACCTGACTCTTCGGTCCAACCTGTCATGGGGAAGCCCTTGATGACCTCGTCAATGACTTTGGCATCTTTGTAACCCAAGTCAATGAGGATCTCTTTCCAAAGTAACAGCCGCTTGCCAGACAGGACCCTGTTCAAGTGGGCAGGCAACTTGGCATGCAGGTCCGCCTCCTGGTTGTGTAGCTCCTTGGCCCTTTGTAACCATCTTTTCATGAACTTTGCTCTTTGTAAAGACAGTTCAGCAGAACTTCCAAGAAGGCTGTCCACTGCAGCTTCACTTTCGCCGTTCACTCTTGCCAGCAAAAAACGCGGGTGTCCCAATTCCACTGCGGCTGCAATGAACTCAGTTGGGTTCCTCGGGACTCCCACTCTTACCAGCTCACAGGTTTCTTTGTCTTCGATGTGGGAGACTATTTTGGCGCCCGGCTGGGTCATAAAAACGTCCCGCCTAAACCCCCGCTGGATTTGACGTGACACAATTTTTGCACCTTTAGGGCAAAACTTTTCCACTTGCAAGTTTGGGGCATCTTCGAGACTGACAGCCAAAACCACAAAAAAGGCAAACTCAGACAAAGTTGGGCGCAGCTTTTGCTGCCGAGGCTGCGTTGTAAACAACTGCCGTTTCCCTACTGCACTATCATGCTGCAACTGCTGCACTAGGCTGTCGTCTGGTCCTAAGCCTCGGCTGATGGCTTCGTCCAAAAGAATACTGGCCATACGTTCGCATAGAAGAGCTGGATATGCCGCTTCATCTTTTGTCGGGAAAATCCAACTGCCATTTGCAAACCTTGGTCTCCACGATTGGTGTGGATGTCGTTTGTCACATTCCAACGCCAATGACTCAAAAAGATTCACTTCCGGGGCTCGAGGATTGAAGGACCAGAATTTAGTTGCTTTATCTCTAGCTCCACCATGCATGCAACTATGGAAAATTGTGTGATGCCCATCTTTGATCTCCTTGTAGAGCTTCTGCATCATCGATGTCAACCAGAAAAGGGAGTTCTTGGGGTTTTCGACTGATACTGAGACCCCAAGGTCTGTCAAGAGTAAAAGGAGCCTCACCGCCGCCTCATATGACTCATTGGCTGATGCCACCCTTGCTGCCTCACTTGGAGTTAAATTGTCAAGGCCATCTGGCTTATCCTCCGACCTAAGGGGTCGTGGCTGTCTCTCTTTTGGTAACCCAGGAACCAAACGTTCCCTTGCCTTGGAAGCGGTGCCACAACTGGGTGCGAAGTGAGCGTGAACAAGCCGATGCCGCTCTGCTTTGACCAAGTTCTCCAGTATGGAAAAATGATTTTTATTGCACAAGTCATATTTTGCAACCACAGCATTTTCTGCTCTATTAACATCCTTATCCACCGCCAGGGCCTGAAGGCCTATACCACG